CGTAATGGTATCTGTGGGGTTTGAACCCACGCAGACTGGCATGTCTAGCGGATCTTAAATCCGCCCCCTTAGTAGTGAGTAGCCGTTTGTTGTGAAAATCTCCGACAAAATATCGAGTTTGACCCGGCGTCTGATACTCAGTCTATGTATGATTCCTGATCAGCCTCTTTGCGACATAACGCAGCTAAAAAGGCTAATTAATTCCTAACTTGGTTGGATTTTGTCTTTAAATGTGGCCCATGAAATCTTAGCTAGACGTTAAAGTGATGTGATTATTTATATGTACCAGGAATTGCTAAAGATCTCAGCATCATAGCTGATATCTAATCGAGAATAATTCAAAACATATTTTTGCCACCCGATTTCGACAAAATCATACTTGAAACGATGCTGGAACTGTAAATATTACTAGAGTTCTAATGCTCGGTAAGCTGAATGAATTTGCGGCCTAATATCTATAAGGCGGTAAGCACATCTATCTGCAAAAAGAGACGCGACAGCGTGTTGTAGAACCCTCACCGAATAAATCGGCGTATCTGGACAGCCAGCCATATTTGGCAGAGTATTGGCCGACCATCAAAATATATTTAGTACTTTCTTCCAAATAACGTGTCTGATGATATCGGTATTGTGGTCTTTGTAGACTGCTGCCACGATGTCATGCTGTCATCAACAATGATTTTTGCCAATATGGCTTGCCAGAAGTCGTTGTACTTTAATAGATTTGCAGTAAACAACTAATTTTGAGCAGGCATTGTTGAGGTGCCAATCCCCAAATTGGATAAATCAACAACTGACTGATGGTCAAAGACAGTTGAAGCCACGCGCACGTCTCCTGGTGGAGCTTTGGCGAGTCATGAACCCACTTCTGCTAGGAGACAGAAGCACTATTGGCGAGAGCACTGGACCGAGACGGTTAACGTGGGAGACATTGGAATGTCCGAGTTGGTAAAAACCAACGGTGTATCGGGCAGGTGTCCCGAGCGTGGCTCTCCGGCTGATCGCGGAGTGGCACGTAATCCACTGAGCGCTGCTCAAGTATCAAAACAGTCGCTGCATGTCATGCGTGACATGGTCGGCCAAGGGCCAAGGCATCGAGGTAGAGCTCTCCGTGATGCACGTGATGTGGCACGTAATCCACTGAGCGCTGCTCGAGTAT